TGTGCCCGAAATTCGTTAAGGTGGGGACGCAGAGGGATAAAGCTGAGGCCTTTGCTGAGTACAGAGCATTCAGCGTCGGAGAGCGGAAGGTTAGGAGGGATGGTGAATACCCGACAGGAGGTGGGGGGGGGGGGGGGGGGGGGGGGAGGGGATAGGGTCAGAGGGAAGGGGAGGAGAGCAAGGTTCCAGAGGGCCATGGGTATTTTTGAGTTGCTGCATCTTGTCGGCCTTGATGCCTGAAAGGAAAAGAAAAAGTTTCTTGTTAGCACAACGAATGAGCCAGAGGATGAAGTGGAACTGCAGAGTGGTGCAGCCCTGAGCCAGCACGTTGCGATGCTGTTGGAGAGAGAGGTTGAGAGTGTGCGGATATGGTGTTGATGGTTGCTGCAGAACCTTGCAGCATGTGGTCAAGGGCAGGTTGATGCATGATCTTTCTTTTATCAGACTTATTGTAATGCTAAAGTGTTCTGAGGCTAGGACAAAGCAATCAACAGGAAGGTAAATACTCTCTGGATTAATGGCAATGAGAGAGCAGTCCTCTGTAAATAAGATTCCACTCAGTAGCTGTTAATTATCTTTTATGCAAGCCATGTACCTTCGCAAGTTGAAGGGGTTTCCACCTGTCCGGACTCGAATATGTACCCCATTGTCAAGATCTTTTGAATGTTTACTGAGAATGGTTAAAAGATACGTGACAAAAAAAAACTGGAGCCAATTATTGGTAATCACTCGCTGACCTGTATGACTGTCCCCCTAGGAAATTCCGTGTCACCGGCCATGGGTTCTGTGGGTCCTTGAGGCTGATGAGCCCAACCGTGGAGCCACGTCTCTGAACACACATTTGGTAGGTGTTTCCAGGAGGTGGAAATGGTCCTTGGCCTTGATATGGTTCACATTCCTTCGTCCAGTTCCTTTTCCATATTTCCTCAATGCTTGTGCTATTAGTTGCTTCAAGGACGCTGATGTTAGTGTGCCTGTCCTCCCATCTGATGCAGATCATCCATCTCAAACAGCATTGATGGTATTTCTCAAGGGTCTTGAGGTGGCATCTATATGTAGTCCAAGTTTTGGAGCCAGTTACAAGAACCAGAAGGATGACTGCCTTATACTCAAGGATCTTGGTATCAGCACAGATGTCACAGTCTTTTAAGACTATCATCCTTATATGTCTGGAGGTGGCACTCACTGACTGGATATGATGTTGAATCTCTTCACCAGTGTCAGCCAATAGAGAGGTAGCTTTTCAGGTACGGGAAATGTTCCACAGTTGGGAGGATTTCTCCATGATTCTTAATGAAGGATGGACCAGAAATTGACCTGGGACAGGCTGATAAAGGATTCGAATCTTCTTGAACTTGAGACTGAGACCAATTCTTTGTTTTGCTTCTGCGAAGGCATTAAGCAAGGCTTGAAGATTCTCTTCCGAGACAGCAGAGATAACATTGTTATCTACATATTGAAGTTTCACAAAGGAGGTTGGTGTTATTTTCTTCTTGGATTTCAACAGTTCAGGTTGAAATGTTTTCCGTTCATCCCACAGATAACTTCCATAACCATTGGGAAGCTTGTTCTTGAAACAAGCCAATGGCTCCATTGACTTGCAAACGCTCGTACTTATAAATGCAGTCCCATAGAAGCGTGTAATTTTAATTGACATATGAACTTTTCTTGTACTTGCACAAAGCTACCTTATACTGTCCTGCATTGTGTTCTGACTTGCATACAAATCAATTTACAAATGTACTCAGGAATGGAACCCATTCGCAAACCAGGGTAAAATGAAGAATGGCAGCTCTGAAGATGGAGAAAAGGGTGGGGGGGATGGCTCATCTCTGCTTGACCCCTGTCTTGACCTCAAAGGATTCAGCCATATGACCGTCAATGAGGACCATCACTGACATCTTGTGCAGAAGACAAAGGATGTTGAGGAATTTCACTGGACAGTTGGCCTTTGTCAGGCCAAAGCACAAACTTCCTTGAAGCCATTGGTGACAAGAAAAGCATCCGATGTCATTACATTTTTCATCATACTGACCATCATGCCATCATGAAATGAATGAATGGCAGTGATTTTCTTTTCTGGGCAGACACACTTGTACATAATCATCCACAGAGCTTTCAGATTCACAATGCCAAAACAGCAGAAAAGCAGATTTTTTTTTGTTTTAAAAGGTTGAAACTTGTAAATGTTGATTTTCAGCGAGACTTTGGCGAATAAGGAGTCCACCATTTTTGAATGTCTGACTTACAAACGCAATCCCACACAGGAGTGTAAGTCTAAAGAGCTGACACAAAAATTACTTCCTGTGCTTGCAAATAGCTACTTTATATTGTCCTGCACTGTGTTCTGATTTGCAGACAAATTGATTTACGAATGGACTTAGGAGCGGAACTCATTCGCAACCTGGGGACAGCCTGTACTCGTACAAGAAACACAGCTCAGCATGCATGGAAAACAAACAATTATGAAAGAAATGTATTCTCTGGCCTTTATTGAAAAGACATTGGAGTACACAAAGAAGGATGTTTGGCTACAAATATAAAGGATTTTAGTGACGCCGTCCCTAGAGTTCTTTGTGCAGCTCTCTTGGTCTCCATACTTAAGGAAGGACATTCTTGCATGGGAGCAGTGCAGTGAAAGTTGGCTAGACAGGTTCTGGGCAGCAAAAATATTTCCTCTGATGAAAGGATGAGTAAGTTGGGCCAATACATGTAAACCTGTTATAACCAGCTAATGAAGTAGTTGTCTAAGAGACATTCCTTATTCAGTTTTAGAATATCCTTTTCTTGTCACCTGTATTCAATATAAAATACAGTAAAACATCTGCACTGTCGGCTATACATAGGCACCACTTACATTAACATAGAATAAAATAAAGATAACTTAAACAGAGTCCAACTTTTCCTTCTCTGCTGCTACAGCATGTTGCTGCCAGAGTCATGCTCTGGACTTCCCAGCCTATGCCATGCTGTCACCGAGAGTGTCCTGCTCCAGGCTTCCCAGCCTGTGACATGCCACCACCAGGGATCCACTCCACGCAGAGGCTCCAGGCTTCACAGGCTGGCCAACCGATTCTGTAGCCATGCTACCTCTTTTAAATGTATTCACAAAGTTAATCATTACATATAGTGACACAAGGTATATTATGTTATAGTTTGGTAGTTGACTTTTAAAATGGAGGCAGATGAATTTGGGTCAGTTCTGTGAAGTTCTTCCATTAATGATCAGAAAGTCAATTTGGAACAGTGACCGAAATACATCAGTTCTAAAAATGCATGTGATTCCAGTTGAGTGCATGAGAGAACTTCTATAGTGTTACTGGATTAAAAAGAAATGTTTTTATTGTCAGGTTTATGATCAGCAGAGTCAATAACATTGAGGCAATTATTTTTGTTCTAACTATCAAACAGAAAGTTCAATACTTTAATTCTGAAGATTCCACGATTCATTTCAGAAGATAGAATAGTTTCTTCTCACTGGAGAATCAAGTTAGTTCAGAGCAACTAGTGTGACAATGCTGTCACTTTAAAAGGTTATTTTGTCCTGAGTTTTTTTGAACACAGACTGTAAGGCAGAGGCGCTGAGCTGGCTACTGAAGACAGTGTAAGTAAACAGCTTAGGGGGCCTTGGGTTTTTTTTTAAACAGCCTAAATGGGTGTGGCCAGCTCTCACAGATCTAGATTCCTGGTTTTTGAATTTTTCAGTAGCATCAGAAGCTGCTTAGGATCTCAGAAGAGTTGGAGCTTCAGTAAATGATTCTTAGCTGCTACTTTCTCCAAAAATTATCTTTATGTTTCTTCCTCCTGAATTGGAGAACTGCATATAAGAATCTGTGTCTGAATTTGCCTTTTTGCCAATGGGTGTGTTTATGGGATGTTACTATATTGGAACAATTAATTAGTAATAGGTACTGTATCTATTATTCGGTTAAGTTTTCCAATAGTTAAGTTATTCTAAATTCTTCTTTCTTTTGTTTATAGTTTAATTATAGTGTTTAATTAAATTGCGTTTTGCTTAACGTTGAATAGTTTGACCAGTCGCATCACATCTGGAACATGCACTTCACATCTACCTTTTAAATAAGAAAAATTTAGGGTCTGGCTACCTTCTTAAAATTTTTTGAGGGGTGTCTGGTCTGGACCATAACACCAGCCAATCTAATAAAGGCTTTCAGTGTGGCGTTTCCAAGCCAGGACAGCTCATATAGTTCATGGAGTTCATAAATTCATGTTAGAACTGAGAAAATTCAGGCCATTGGATTTGTAAAAGGTTCATGCTATCAAACTTGGAAAATCGTAACAAAACAGCTCAGCAGAGTAAGGAAAGGAAACTGGAAAGTGTCAGTTCAGTCCATACTTAAAAAAAGCTGTAATACAAGTGATATTTTTTCTGGGTTGGGTCTGTGTAATGGATGGTCTTGGAAAACAGGTTGAAATTTTGTTTTGATGTTTGTGTTCTGATTTTTTTTTAAACTATCTTCTATCTACAGGTTTGTTTGTTTATTTCTTTTGTGTAATAAACTTGCGTTCTGTTGTTTCAGAACATCTGCAGCCTCGCAGGAATATTTTTTAGTATTTAACCACCGCATTAACCAACTGCAATAATTAAATATGTGATGTATGTATGGCTCCTAACTCTACAACCTTTCATCAATGTCAGTAAGTGTCTCTTTATATTGTACTGAATATCAAATAAACAAATAAATTAACTTGCTCATGAATCACCCCTTAAAGGGGCAATGTAACAAAAAATAATTCTAAAGGAAACATGTATTAAAATGAAATCTAGCTTTCTATTCCATCGTCTAGATTATTGATAAAAATGGCATCACTATAGGTCTTAAAGACAGCACTAGTTAAATCTGCCACTTGGAGTTCTTGCCCATTTTTCCTACCTTCTACCTCCTGCTCTTCAGCCAATTTCCGAACCTGACTGGTCTTTAACGCCATGGGCTTCAATTTTTAGCTAAAAACTTTAGTGGTGGTGTTAAGGTACTTACATTCTTGTTTGAAAGTGAAATATTCTGTCAAATGTCTACACTCATGGTTTCCACGGAGTAAAAACAGTGTCTTTGGATATAGGATTTTCAACGACCACAGATATAAAACGCACTGCATAGAAATAAATAAGTATGAATTAATTTTAGGGTAGTAATAAAAAGCAAATATATACAGATATTTTAAAATTCCCTAATACCATGACAATAAACAATCCACGCATTCAATATCAATCAACATGCCAGCTTTTCTTCATCCTCGTTAATGCTCTTTGTATCTGAAAAAGTCCATTTATCAAATGTCATATCGCTACAAATAATATTTAACAAACATAAAATTAGTAATAAAGCATTCATACATTGAAACTACATTTTGAATTCACTCAATGTCTCATACGACGATCAGTTCTTCACTATCATGTGCACCAAAAAGATCAGGTAGAAAGTCACAAAATTTAATTTTCAATGCAGTAAAGAAACAGTTTAATATTACAATACAGTGTAGATCTCTCTCATTGTGAATAAAGCAGTCTCCTAGGTCAGCAGTTTAAAATAAAATATTAACTACATTTACAAAATATTAACTACATTACAAAAATCAACTACATTCTTTCCACAGTGGAGTGTAGAATGTGGGAGACCAGCCAGGACAACAAAAGCATTTCGATTTGCATTTTGTCTTTTGACTGTTTAACTGGAACAGCGTGACGTGGTTCAGATCATTGTGTGCAGGTAGCCTATTTTTAAATATCTTTTTCAGGATTATATGACAGAAAATATGTCTAAAAGAGTCTTTGCTAAATTATTACAATTTAACTTCAAAGTTATCTTAAAATAGCAGCAACCTTTTAGCTGTTATAATGTAGAATAAAAAGGGGAAGTAGTTTTCAACATAATGAAAAATCAGTTTAATTATGCTATATGATGCCTGTTTCTCACTGAATGATACAGTCTCCGAGATTAGCAATTTGCAATGATAAAAGTGTTTATAAAAAAAACAATTCATGCCCAAGAGCAACAGTTTCAAATTAAGGTTTTCATGTGATAAGGGCAATGACAAAGCCACATGTATTATCCATTGTTAGTGCCCCAAGGCAGCAGTTCAGACTTCAACTTCAGCAGCTGAAGCCCTTGTGCATGTGTTAGATAGGATACTGACCCAGAAATACTGAAGAAAGTGCAACATATTTCCAAATGAGGATCCTATGTGATTCAGAGAACTCAAAGATATTTATATTCCTAAGACAATGCTGCTCTGCACTTGCCCTTCTTTAGAGGTCTCAAACCAATTTTTCTGTTCCAATTCAACACTACATTTCCTAGCTACCAACAACTTCTTTCTGCCACCTGTCTAAAATTTAACTAGTCTTTTTGCAGTGTCACATTTGATCCTGAGATGAGCTTCTGACCTCATGTTTGTGCCATCAATAAGGCTGCCAATTTCCAACTCCAATCCTTGTCTTTTCTCATCTCTGATCATCTGCTGCCACGATCTTCATTCATGCCTTCTTTGTTTCTAGCCTTTACTATTCCAACACACTCATGGCTGGTCTCCCACATTCTACTCTCCATGAACCAGAGCCCATCCAGAGCTCACCTGTTCATGTCTCAACTCCAGCAAGCCTTGTTCACGTATCACCTTGTGCTCAATTACTTACATTAGCTCACAGTTAAACAGTGCCTTGATTTTAATATTTATGTCCTTATTTTCAAATCCCTGAACAACCTGTTCACCCTCTTCTCATCTCTGTAATTTTTTCCAAATCTGCAACCCTCCAAGACATGTGCTCTGTAGTTCTGGCTGCTTCTGCATTTCCAATTATAATTGTTCTTATATTGGAGCCTTTAGATGCTTAGGCCTGAAATTCCCTTTCTCCACCTTGTCACTTTGTTCTCCTCCTCTAAGTCACTCCTTCAGACCTAACATGTTGACCAAGATCTTACCTAACATTATTATGTTCCCCTTAAACGGCTTCTTTTCCTAAACTATTTAAAAATGTTTTGATGGGTCTTGAGGTGTCTTGTTATGCTAAATGTGCTATATAAATATAAGTTGCTACTGATATTGGGTATTCAAGTAACCTTGACTAGTTGATGCAGCAGATTGCATTAGATTATGAATTCTGCAAGCCATAGCATGTAAGTGTTGGAGGATGTGAAGCCAAGGTCAGGGAAACAAATGAATTCCTACATTGTCCTATATGTTGTTATTGAGAGTTATTGCACCTGCTGTCATCCGGATTATTGGAAATTACTCCATTGCAGTTCTTACTTAAGCACTGTGCATTCTGGAGATTTCAAGGGGTCATCAAGTCAGCCATGTGTTATGGACTATGCCGTGTCTTTCATGACCTAATATTCGGGCTGTTTAAACTGTACTATTTTCCCAGATGACCATCTGTGGGATACCTTGTGGCATTTGCCACCTTTACGAGTAAGAGATACTGGGTAAGGGTTAAGAAGAAGTCAGACTCAAAAAGTTAACTCTTTTTTTCTCTGTACAGATGTTGCCAGGCCTTTGAGTTTCTCCGCCATTGTGTTTGTTACAGACTACAATCATCCACAATATTTTGCCTTTATCTGGGTAAAGGTTGTTTGAGGAAGTTCATTGCCACAAATCCTCTTCAGGCTTTGCTTTGTCTTGGGCCTATCTAGTAATTAGTGAAAGAGAATACACCACTGCAGAGTATCTACAGAAAGGGCACTGTTCTCAGATAACAAAGGTTTACTGCATTAAGTACAACTACATTTGGTCAGGAATAATTACCAAACCCTAATGGAGCTTGCACCAGATGAATCTGCTCCTTCTGAAAGCTACAGTAGAACTCCTAGCTTCCAATCGCAAACTTGGTGTGACATCAGAACCATTAACTTATACAACAGATACTATTTATCCAATTAAGCTTGTGGCCAATGGTGAAACCCCAAGTTATTCTTTTGCACTCGTATACCGAGATCACTTTTGGTCGAGGACGGGAATGAACCAAAACACTCATCTTCCTTTTAGCTGTCTACAACCAGCTTTGAGGTGCAACTATAGATAATTTCTCAAGTGGGACTGCCTAGCTCTGGGGATCCTGTGCTGCTGATGGAAAACACTTCACTAAGTTGTGATTGGTCTTCCCACTTCGTGGTGGTGGACCAGCAAGAAATATGCTGGACCAGAATGTTACAGATTTTGCTGGCAGCTCATCACCGTCTTCTCAGGGACAATTAGAAATGGGCAACTAATGCTGAACTTGTCAGCAATTTCCACATCAAATGAGTTTTTTTTAAACAAGTAAAAATCTTGAATTTGATTGATAGTCCACATAAGGAAAGGTCAGTATCTTCATTTTGGGACTGCTAGATCAGTGTTTAAATGCCCCTCAAAGTACAACAGTAACTTCACATTATGCAATAGTAGGAATCTAAACTGTGGAAAAGTAATTAATTTTCACATCGGCTGAATGATCAAATAAATGATATCATGGACAAATCAGTCTGAGGAAAAATATGCTCGTAAATGTGGAGTTGGGTTGGTCACTCTCCTGGTTTAGTTTATCTTCTATTGAAGACTGAGCATGGCATCTATGTCCTTGAGGATTTGATCAGTGGTGAAATTATTAAGCTACTTGATGGTGAACACTGGAGGCCCACCTAATACATGTTCTATGTTGTGACTTTCTATAGCCTTTTGTAGGTAGATCTCAACTTTGAGAAATATCAGTTCATGAGTTGAGGAAAAGCAGTCCGTGGCAGTCAGCAGATTTCATTAGGTTGTTTAAAAGAAGTCAAGGGACTTTGCAGGATCCAGAATCAAGATTAAAAACTTCCAAAGCTAGTTCAGTTTAGTCCACCATTGTAACAAGGCACAGCCAGGTTTGTGTATTGAGTAATACCAGTTGATAGTAATGCTTGTTTGATCTGTGAAACAATTTTCCAAAAGTCAAGTGCCACGTGTCAGTGAGAATGTTTTGAAATAATTCAACTGGCCTTAACTCACTCCTTTTTTTGTTCATCCAGACCTTTACAAAATACAGAATTTAGTGGTGATTATTTATAACTAATGTCTTGCCAGGTCAGTTCAGAGGCCATTGATAGTTAACGATAATGTGGGACTACAGCCATATTTATTCTAGTCCAAATGGGAGGTTTAAGTCTTTGGAGACCAAAAAAATTAACTATTATATTTCAGTTTTTAATGACAATCTGACATTGAGGTTTATTTTTCAAACCAATGGCAGCTTTACACTTTTGTGTCAATCTGACAGATTTATTTTCTTTTTTTGCTAACAGCCAATTGATTGGTAGACTTATTCAAGGTAATTTTTTAACTTGTCATGATGGCTTTGAACTCATGACTGTTGGCTTGTTCTTCCTATATTATTACCATGACATTATTGTGCCTCTAAAGAGGATGAAACGTCATACTCTGAGCCATTAATATGACCTAGAGGCATCACTGGTGAAGTCAGGAAGTTTGTTTCAATGTAAATGTGATATGTACATGGAACAGATTACCATCATGGACAAAAGAACAAGGAATGATTTGGATGTGAATACGAGAGGTATGGTTAGCAAGTTTGCAGATGACACCAAAATCAGTGATGTAGTGGACAGCGAAGGTTAGCTCACAGCACAACGGGACCTTGATCAGATGAGCAAATGGGCTGAGGAGTGGCAGTTGGAATTTAATTCAGATAAATGCGAGGTGCTGCATTTTGGTAGGGCAAATCAGGGCAGGACATATACACTTTATGGTAAAGTCCTGGGGAGTGCTGCCTTTATTGGTCAGTGCATTGAGTATGGAAGTTGGGAGGTCATGTTATGGTTGTACAGGATATAGTGCATTCAATTCTGGTCTCACTGCTATAGAAAAGGGTTCAGAAGAGATTTACAAGGATGTTGCCAAGGTTGGAGAGTTTGAGCTGTAGGGAGAGGCTGAATAGGGTGGGGCTATTTTCCCTGGTGCATCAGAGGATGAGGGGTGATCTTATAGAAGTTTGTAAAATCATGAGGGATATGGATAGGGTGAGTAGTCAAGGTCTTTTCCCCAGGGTAAGGGCATCCAAAACTAGATGGCATAGATTTAACATGAGAAGGGAAAGATTTAAAAGGGACCTCCGGGGCAACTTTTTTACGTACAGGGTGGTGCGTGTATGGAATGAGCTGTCAGAGGAGGTCGTGGAGGCTGATATATAATTACAACATTCAAAAGGCATCTGGATGGCTATATGGTTAGGGAGGGTTTATGGGATATGGGCCAAATGCTGGCAAATAGGACTAGATTAATGTAGAATATCTGGTCGGCTTGACGGGTTGGACTGAACAGTCCATTTCTATGCTGTATACATCTATGATTCTATTACAGTTGCAAGGCAGCTGTTGGCAGATTTTTGACAAAATAGGGTCCATTATAATTAGCAACTCATGAATGAAATATAATTGGATACTAGGCTAGATGGATCATAGGATATTTTACTGACAAGTGTGACTGTGTTGCTAGTCAACGTTTATTTTGACATGGAATCACTAATTTTTTGGGTTAATACATATTATTAATAATAACAAAGGACAGAATGGTGTTGCTTCATCTAAAAATATAATTCAGATGAATTATCTGGACATAAATTAGGCCACACTTTCTTGATACCAAGATATAGCTGAAAACATTTGAGAGCTGTATTTTGCCATATGACATAAAATTCTACCAAAAGAGCATATTCACTTATGAAGTAAATGTATGTGTATATATATGTGTGTGTAACAAATTCCACACTTTTCAATGTTTTCTATACACATAGAGTACTTGCCTCAATACTGAAGTAGCCCCTGTCCACATAGTCTCCCAGAAAGAGGTAGCGAGTAGTGGCTGGTGACCCACCCACTTCAAAGAGCTTCATCAGGTCAAAGAACTGACCATGAATGTCTCCACAAACTAGGAAACAAAATACAGGAGTTTACTTAACTAGATGGCTTTGTAACTGTACTGTTTGTGAAATTAGGCTAAACTTAGATAAAATGCTCCACTCAAATGTTTACTTTATAAACACTGGCTGCTATTGTTCATATTTTGCCAAAAAGTGTTAGGATGCTTATATTTTATATCTAATTGTTTGTGATAAATTAATTTTTTATGAGCTTATAAAGTGTCAACAAAACCCAAATTTAGACTTTTTAAAACACTTCTCATGCACTGTTTCAGATTTTAGGGCTAAATAGTAATTCATTCTCACTAAAAGCCCAATCAGTAATGAAACCAATTAATATTTCAGTATGTTGCATTTACAAAAAGTTGTCTCAAAGCTAATACTGTTTCAATGAGGATGCATCATGTCCTGGAATCATAGCAAGTAGAAACCAACATAACATGCAGGTAAAATAAGCAACCAGAAAGGCAAACGGTATCCTCAGGACTGGTATCATTGCTTTAGAGAGAGTGCAATTAAGTTTCACTACATTGTATTCTGGGTCAAGAACTGTCCTGTGAGGAAGCACTGAGGAGAATGGACCTATATAATCTGCAGAAGAATGAGAAGTCATCTCATTCATACATATAAAATTCTTAAAGGGTTTGCCAGGGAAGAAACCAAGAGATTGTTTCCTCTGCTGGACGGTCTAGACTAGAGATCATAGTCTCAGGATAAGTGGTTGAACACACAGAGCTGATATAAGGAGAAATTCCTTTGTTTAGAGGGTTGTGAATCTCTGGCATTCTCTACACCAAAGGATTGTGGATGCTCAGTTGTTGAGTATATTCAAGACTGACATTATAGAATTTTCAGCATCAATGGAATATGGGATTAGAATGAGAAAGTGGGATTGGGAAGAAGATCAGTCATGATCCTATTAAATGGTGCAGCAGGCTTGAGGGACTATGAGGCTTATTCCTGTTTGTACTTCTTAAATTCTTATTTTAACTCAGCTGCTTTAGGATTCTGACCAGCTATAAAATAGAGATCACTCTGGCAACCATGCAAAGGATGAACTAAAGGCCACACAATTAAAGATTTAAAAATAACAACCAAGATATATGACCCCAATTTCAAGACTGCTTAAAACATGTATGGAAGTTCAATGTACACACATCCAATTTACGGGAAAACAAAGCACATGCATTATTTTCAGCACAAATTGGAACATCTGCAATGCTGTAGGAATAAGTTCTGAAGGATTACAGGAAAATTTCTTTATCCTGTATGTATAATTTATGTAATAGCACAAGATTATAACAACATAATTATTAATATAACCTGTAAAGACTCATGAAAGAGGGCAGTATATTCAGGAAATTACATGTTTTCTTTCTACAGAACTGTGAAACTACAAGGGCTGCTAGTTTCTTTATTAGGAATGGACTTGTCACCTGATATGGTAAATATCTTCACAGCAATTTAAACTTGCCATGAGAAGAGAAATCGATACTCTATGATCAGTACACTCAAAGTAGCTTTAAAGAAAATCCTCTCAACAAGACTCAGTTAGGAGGACTTAGTAAATGGAATTACCAAAAAATTGTCAAATACCAAATGGAATGCTCATTATGTTAGCTCGACTTTGGAATTATTTACTAAATTTCAGCAGCATGATTGGTTAGGCAGGATTTAAATAACTCTGGAGCAAAAAAAAATCATCAAATTTTGCAGCATATTGTCCATTCTGATGCCATGAGTAAACTTGGCAAATAAGGAACTAAGATATTAAATCATTAGCTGGTTGTTATTGTTCCACTTTCCAACCATTAACAGTAGGTCCGGTTTGTCTGAACTTTGAAAATTAATGTTTTCACTTCACACAACCAATAAGAGGCAGGAAAACATTTATGTAGATCATTGTCACCAATACAGAGTTGAAAATTCCTCACTATTTGAAGCGGATGACTGGTGTTACACAGCGTAAGCAGAGAAGAACTGAAAATGTTATTCAGGCAAAATAAATAGAGCAAAACAAAATATCTTTCAATTTACTCTCAAAGTCTGATCATTTATTTTGATACACATACCATAAAAAGTTGACAGGTAGTTAGCAAAGGACTGTTAATAAAAGGAATACTTTTCAAATGTCAAAGTATATGGAACGTACCGCCAAGCAAAAACAGTTTATTGTACAGAATGACAGTACTATTAATTTATTAAAGGAGAATGAACATGAGCCTTAATGTGCAGCTAATATGTGATCACATCAGCCAAACAATCATGGTTTGTTCTCAATATCCAGGGATCTGTCGTGACTCCTGCATTTGGGAGCACTATGTGCCAGAACCATGACCATAGACAGAACTTGCATGGCCTCCTCCACCTGCTCTACTCGTGGCCCCTGACATGCACTGCCTGATGTTCTGCTGCCTGTCTTTCTGCAAATTCAACATGTCTCTAATGGCCAAATACAGAGGTTTGTCATCTGCATGGGACTAAGCAGGAGCCTCTGGGTGTTAGAGGCCTTGGACATTTCTTCCTTCATCAGCCATGGATCCCTGCCAATGATGTTCTCACTCAGTTGTGACCCTGAGCCTACTCCAGATAATGCATTCACTGAGGTGAATGTCCCTATTTTCGTGCAGATAATGCCACGCAGCGTATTCCACGAGAACTTCAGAGACATCCTCCTCGAAGGTGGTGGTTGTGGTACTGGGGGGAGGTCATTTCCTCTTTTGCTTCCTCCTCTTCTGGTATCCACTTGTACATTGTAGAAGAGAAAGAATTACCTGCTAAACATGCACACACAGTTCCTTATCTAAACAATGTGCCACTGTCTGCACATGACAGAACAACAGACTGGCTTCCTGTGAGACTCCCACCTCTTCATCTGGGCAGGCAATGTAATGATCTGGTCTTCCCCGTCAGCTCTGTAGCCTCCCTTCAAAAGGATGGGGATACAATGATAGGGCACCCCTCTACTAGTCAAGGCCTGCTCCCTTGCGTTGTGGTCAATCTTATCCTACAAACAGAGAAATAAGAGATAACAAGGTGTAGAGCTGGATGAACACAGCAGGCCAAGCAGCATCAGAGGAGCAGGAAAGCTGATGTTTCAGGTCGAGACCCTTCTTCAGAAAACTTTTCATCCAGCTCTACACCTTGTTATCTCAGATTCTCCAGCATTGGCAGTTCCTACTATCCCAGAGAAATAAGAGGATTGAGTGTGATGGCAATGGATTTATGAGCACTTTATGAACATTTGTAGCCATACCAGTAAACAATTAGATTTGTCATGCAACTGGTATAACGCTGACAGCATGAACTGACAGCTATTCAGTGCACATATCCATGTGGTGCTGAGGCTTGCAGGCAATCAATCTGTGACATGTCTATTCGATGACACATTTATGTTGAGTGATGCCCTCTGAGTGCCAGCATGTAATGGGTGGATAGTGCCACTTACCTTTGCAGAGCTCAGGAAATATTCATCCTCTTCCTGGACTAGACTCAAGTTCTTGTGAGGTCTACAGACATCAACCTGTACTGCAACCTTAATCCAGGCTACTTTCACCTGATGGCAGGGCTTCCCAGGGAATGGGACCTCGTTTCTTTCTTGGACAGCCTGGATGAGAACCTCTAGGGGCAACTCTGAACCAGGGGTCAGGTTGTGTCAGACTTCTCCAGTGAGAGTAAGGGTCAGGGTGACTAACACAGGCCTACTGATGCTGCAAGCTTGCACTGAGTGAAGAGCTGTTTGGGTCGTCTTTTAATAGGTCGACTGGGGCTTTCAACCCAGCGTGGGTGAAAACTTCTTGCCCACTCCACCTTATTTGCCTTTTAACTCACACCACAATTCACAAACATATATAATGACCCAAAAACCAACGGTAAGAGTTTTTCAATCCTTGGCTTTTTTGCTTCAGGTGCGGTAACGGCCTCAGACTAGTTTTAACTCTTTTTTATTGGAAACTTATTCCATTAGTTTTTCCATTAGGTTAGAGTTTTATCTGCTATTAATTTGCTATAACTGTGGATGGCGTCGAAGGCAGCTGCTACTTTTTTTTTACAACCAATTGGCAGTCATTTTTGTTGCCCTCAGCTCTTTGTACTGGATTTAAAACATTCATTCAGATTCAGTGCTGTTGTAAGATGTTAATCAATTATGGTGCTACACAATTACATTACACAACATTAACAACGGCTCAGAAAGCTAAGCAGGAACAAAATAAATACCAGACGATCTGTTCATATTTTTCAGTTTGATGAACAGAGAGTCATACAGCATAGAAACAGGCTCTTTCCGCCATCATGTCTATGCTGTCCAAAGAACTACATTAATCCCATTTACCTACACTTGGTCCATAGCCTACAATGCCCTGGTAATTTAAGTGCTTGCCCAGATGCCTCTTAAATGTTTGAAAGTACCTGCTTCCACCACCATCTCAGGTAGCACGTTCCATATTTAGACCACCTTCTGCGTGAAAAATCTTTCCTCATACCACTTTAAACTTATACCATCTGCTCTTAGACACATCTGCAATGGGGAAAGGATATTCACAATCTACCCTATCTATGCCTCTATTAATTCTGTATAACTCAATCAGATCCCCTCTCAGCCTCCTTTGCTCTGAGGAAAAACAAACCCAACCTATCCAATCTCTCCTCATAACTGAGGTTTTCCATCCCAGGTAACATCCTGGTGAATCTCCTCTGCAATCATGTCCTCCCGATAGTGTGGTGACCGGAACTGCACAGAGTATTCCATCTATGACTTAAACAATGCACTATAAATTTACAACAGGTCTTCTCTGTTCTTATATTCTATTCCTGACTAATGAAAGCAAGCACTCTGTATGCTTCTTCACCACCTTATCTGTGTTGACACCTTCAGGTTCATGGACTTATATGCCGAGGTCCCTTTGCTTCTCAGTACTCCCTAGGGGCCTACCATTCATTGTGCAAATCCTTCCCTTATTAGACCTCACAAAATGCATTGCCTCACACTTACCAGGATTAAATTCCA